CATCACTTCTAAGAAACAACAACAACAACAACAAGTGTAGACGAGCAACATTTTCTAATTACCACTGTCCACAGAATACATTCAGGAAATTCCACATAACATAACTTACAGTAAAGTCCAGTACATCTAGTATTAAAACATTACATAAAGACAAAACATGATAGTATGGATCCTTCCATTGAGCCAGGCCAGCTTTTCAATTTCCCGTGACACGAGACAAAAAATACGTTTCTGAGAGTCGTTTTCAAACTCTGTCTCTCAGACTCCACTGCAGCAAGAAAACACTTGGAAATTCAAGTATGGAAATTTCTTACAGGAAGCCTACCTTAATTTGCTAAACTCAAACTGCTGGTGCTTCATTTTACCTTCAGATGAACCCGAGTTACGAAAGGACAGAAGAACAGAAGGCAGGATCGCAGCGAGCCAAAGATGTCCTCTTACATCCTGCTGTGAGATACACTAAAGCTTAAAAATTAAGCCTTGGAAGTCCTGATGAACAAAAAAAAATCAGCAGGTTAAATCCTATCAGAATCCAGACAGGACCGGGATTAATCCACTTACCTTGGAAATGGGATTTGTTCGGAAACAGTGAACAAAGAAGTGCCTTGATTTTGATCTCTTACCACATTTACTGACCCTAAAAACTTAGCTGTTTAGGGTCAGGGTGTGTTTATATTTATCACTTTAAAGATGAGATTTTCTAGTTTCTGAAACTATGCATATTTTGTTCTTGGCTAAAACACCCTAATCCTAACCATACACTTAAGTGGTTGGTTGGTGATGTGGTGAAGGCTGCAACCTTCGTTATAACTCAGTGCAGAATCACAAGTGGGTAGGAGGAGTACCGAAAGCTACCGACTACACCAAAATGGGAAAATCCACACAGTCCCAGATTTTTCTGGTTTGTGAATTAAAAGTCCACCTTAAATACAAATAAATACATAAAAATAAAAGGATTATATATATTAGATTTACTTTTCTAGCATTTAAAAGAGCAACTCTTAAGTCTGTGATTTATTACCTTTATTAGTTTGGTGCAGCATGAAAACTAAAGAAGAAACAAGGTTGTGAGATG